TGTCTCTTATACACATCTAGATGGGTATAAGAGACAGTTGCATAAATGTCTACACACACGCGATGTAAAACAAAATGTCGGAAAACTTTTCTTTGACGCATGCGCATTTGCATAAATGTCTACACACACACATACACACTACACACAATAAAAAACATAGGAGATAGCAAGAGTGATTACAATAGTTCCTATTGCATTACATGCATAGGAACTAACAAAAAGGCACATATGCTTATTTGATGACAGGTCGCAAATTATAGTTAATCACATTGATGTATGGTATATATTTTATATAGTCTTCTATGCTTGATATAGTTGTATGTTGGATGCCTTTCTGATGTTGCTCCTAACAATGGTTTTTAATGATGTCTTAAAAATGTATTAACTGCAAGGATATGTAAATACAGATGATTTTGTCTGGATCAGGCCACTACTTCATTTTCATGGGTTTTATTCAGAGATTTCTCACAAATTCTTCATCATTTACAGACAATAAAGTTGTATGCTTTATAATTAATAACACAAAGTCCACACATTAACATTACAATCATGTTCAAATAAACACAACTTACAATTAATGTTGCAACCTCTTGTCACACTTGAAGGCTGCAAAAATCAAAATAATACAAAGCTACTGAATTTGTATTTGTATTTGTATGTTACGACCATAATTGTAAGTGTTAGTAAGTCTGTATCAGGCCACTACTTGATTTTCATGATGTATTTTTCAAAGAGATTCCACACAAAATTCTTCATCATTTACAGACTACTGTATATAGAAATTGAAACACAAGATATATTCTTTCATATGACCCTTCCCTTCTACACAAGAAACGGTATGATTTGCAGATATTCAATTATGAAAAACCTCCAAAAACTTGTATTCACATTTCACATAGTTAGCACTTTTAGCTTGTATAATAATATTTGTAAGCTCTATTTATAGCATGTATAATATTGTTAGTAGGCTTACCTTGTATAGACTACATATAAAACAGAATTTTGACAAGCCTGGAATTGACCTAACATTCTTCGTTTTTTCAACTTCATTCTTCAACATGACTTACAACCAATCTGAAATTTATCAATTTTGGAGTATTTTGGTTAACTCACACAAAAGATGTTTGTATATATTCATTAATATTATAAGTCAGACAAACACAAATACAACAGAACCCCTCAATTACAAACTGATGTTTTTAAATTATTGATTTCAAAAATCATGGTAGATAAAACCTGGTGTTGCTACACTAAATTAGCAGTGTAATGCCCAAAATGATTTATGCATGATTTGAATTATACAGTAAATACCTCTGGTTAAGAATCGCACATAATTTAAAGCTTCTAATGTTTGGCAAGCCCTTATTTTTCTAGAGTTTCAGTACAGCAGGTCTGTAGTAGTGTTTCACCTCAGGTTGCAAGATACGTGTAATCACTGTATTTATCATTTGGATCACTCAGGATAATCATCATTGGTAGAAACACCACATAACCCAAGCAAATCCAAATAAAACACATACAAAACAAGACATAATAGCATCACAATACACGCTTCACACCACAACACACCATAGTAAACAGTCATCATTCAAGCACATGCTCAACACCACACACTCAACGACACACCACATGCTTGACAACAGCATACGCACAACAAAGTATTCTATACAAAACAGTGAACTGTCAAAAAATATGTACTAACCATATTACCAACATGCAAGTTGTGGTTCAGAGCCACTTGTAAACCAACTGAAAACATACAATGATAGAAAAAAAAATTATAGATAGCAGTCAAGTTAAACTAAAGTGTGTAATTTTTTAACAATTCTCACCTCAGATTCAGAAGAAAAATCACAAAAACATCATTTAGTGGATCACTCTGAATCTAATCATCACAGGTGCCAGAAAATGAAAGTTTAATTGACGGACTGTTAAATACATAAATTGAAAATAAGCGCCACAATGCTTACACTTTTTGGAGGCTTCAGCGTATTTAAAATTATTGGTGTGATGTCTTCTTAATATCTCCTGTGTTGCACAAAAGTTATGTCTACTTATTGAATTAGTATTTCGTCACTTTAAGATAAGTATATAAACAATCAACAAACCTTTGTTCACATCTTTCCAGTATAACTGTTAAACTGTTGTCGCAGGGCAAACACCTGCAATAAAAAACAGAGAATCTTAAATTAGTTAACGTAGTATGCTGCCCTCTAATGGTGGATATCATGAAATCAAAACCTGCTCAGTTTAGAAGTATACATGGTCATGATTAGATCCCTAGCAGCGATTCTTAGGTCATCATCACAGGTCTCTCACTATTTGAAGAAGAATGACAACTACACAATGCAACATTTTTAACTACTTTCACTAAGAAACAATTATAGAGTAATTTTCAACTGGTTTTTACATTAAATGGAGATACATGACTGAACATACCAACATCTTTAGAAGACCACCTTGTGTTTTGGACAATTTTCAACATTCTGAGGAGATATGAAATACAATTAACAGTATTGGTCAACTTGGCATTATCTTTTGTTGACAAACCATTAGCACTGCATCTAGCCACATCAGGTCTACTACTATTTATGACTTTATAATCACAGGAAATCATTTGTCCCTATCTTGTTTCATCATATGTGGCTAAAGCCAGGCACACACTACATCATTTGTTGGTCGTATCACATCAGCTGACAAATTCATCTCCACCCAAGGTTGTCGAGGAAAAATCAATATACATTTTAAGCATGCCTTGCTGTCAAGTTTTAGGGATTAAAAACTCTTTAGTTTGAGCAGTGCTACCGTATGGGCGAGGTACTGTACACTATTACGATTGTATGGGTTGCAGTGGTGGCGCCATATCTTCCCTGAATGGGGGATGGTACCTCCGATGGGATGGGGATTGGATCCCTTGTTGGGGAGCTTGGAACCCTTGTCGGGAAATTCTCAGCGCCGCCCCTGGTGTTCTCTATGGAATCGTGTCAGCCAATGACCGTCAAGCGAAGTGTGTGCCGAGCTTAACTCTAAATTACAGATAATATTAAAAACCTTCAAATAACAGATTATGCTCACCATAGGGAACATCAAGCAATGAATCCATTGAACTAGCCTGTTGAAAAAAACAATACACAAAGTATTTACATGGTGGTTCATTTAGATTAGATTATCTTTTTAACACTAACATTACTGTATGTTTGTCTCCGAGATCTTGGTGATAGGGTACTATCATTTAACAGTCAAAAGTAGCAAAGTTTTCTTCCTTGACAAATCATTACTATGGTACATTACAACTAGTAGCTTAATATAAAATTGGTAAACACTGCATACCTTTGAGGATCCTGGCCATGGCAGTATCTAAAATAACAATATCTTCAGTATCTATGGAAACAAACAAACATTGCATTTTTCCCATCTCTTAAAAGGTGCCTCTCAGTATTAACGGTTGAATGTTAAAAAACACTTAATGATTTGTCTCCGAGATCTTGGTGGTAAGGTACTATCATACAACCGTCAAAAGTAGCAAAGTTTTCTTCCTTGACAAATCAATTTATATTATTTAATCAACAATACTAATGGCACAACAGAAAATTTAATTAGACATTACGTACCATGCATGTCCTGATGGGGGCAGAATTGAAATAGTCAGTATCTTCTCCATCTAGGAAACAAACACACAAAAAAATTTTTTTAATATTTACCTTCTATAAAGTGCCTTTGAACAAGAAACAGTTACGATTTGTCTCCGAGATCTTGGTGGTAGGATCCTATCATACAACAGTCAAAAGTAGCAATGTTTTCTTCCTTGACAAATCAATATTTTACCCAGAAAATTAATCCTGAACACAAAATTAATCCTGAACACAATGAAAATACATAAACTTACTGAATATAACAGCCAATGTAGAGATGAAGTAAAATGCCTGGGCTTTGACCACCTGAAACAAGAGATAATTTTAGTTAGACTTTACATATTTATTTCATTTATCACTCGATTTGCTTTGTATCAGTAAGTAGACAATTTATTTAAAAGAAAATGGTTTCTTTGGTTTATGGTATTTAGTAAATACTTTGCATCAGATCGCCCTAGTTGAAGTCGTTGGTCAGTCACTGTCCATCAGACCATTTAGTCTTCAATCATCACCTGCAAAGCCTCTTTGTTAGAATATCTTAATATAATGGTCTTACCTGCTTTTGTTTTGGCCCCTTTGCTACATTGTCTGGAAAACAAGAAATCTGGGTCAAACAAAAGATGAAGGTATGTTTTTTGAAGTATATACATAAAAGATAGATGTTTAGTTGTTGCATCAGTCCTATCGATCCAGAGTTTGTATAATCATTATATTCATTGTCCCTATCTGGTGTCATCCTTTACAACAACAAAAAAACTATTTTACACTACCTCAACGTCACAAAAATTTTAACAGTAAATAGTGTATTAAAAGTCAACAGGCAAAAAAATTCTAATAAACATTTGTGTTCTTTCAATATATATAATCCATTGTGTCCACTCACACTTATGATTAACTCCCTAACCAGGTTTTCTGGGGAAAAAAAAAAAAAAAAAATGTCAGGTTTGTCTACATCTGATATAAATGTTGCTGTTTAGATGTTTTCAACATGTTGATCAGATAGGGGCGAAATCCTGTGGCTTATTCTTCATTTTTAATCTGTTGAACTATGCAAACATCATTGCAACACTTTTGATATATCTTTTACAACATTACAATATATTATATACCATCTCCACTTCTTGAAAAAACAAAGTTAGTTTAGTATTCAATACCACTTACCATGATGTGCCGCAAACATCTCCCTATTAATGATAGATACGAACGCCATATAAATCTTTGATTAACTGATGTTCACCAAAATAATGTCAGGTTATAGCAAATTGTGTCCAACCAATCACCTGAAATCAATAGACCAAAGTTTAATACAAGCACACAAAAACAAGCTTTACACAAGAGAATATTAAAAATTGTGTCGAACCGGGTGCCTGATTGCAGTGGAGATCTGCTCTCAGCGAATATGGCAAGACTAGGTGTTTAATTTCCGAGACTTTAAGCACCAGTCGTTTCATATACGTTATGCATCAACGACAGTGACTCTAGAATCGGTGAAAGCATACAGCCTCTTTACCAATAAAGACAACTTACTGTAGACAAAGATGTTCCAATAATGCTCTTTAAACTGTTTCAAATACAATGGCTGAATGTTATTTTGCCAATCAACATCTAATCCTCCACAAACCCTCTCCAGAACCAATCGCTTGATAAAACCTACAAAAAATTAATGAGACATCAATTAAATTTTTCAATATCAACTATTACCTATCACCTATCAACATTCATCACTTCACCCATTGCTGGCCCACTGCAAGGCCTCCATAAATTAATACCATCCACTTCCGTCCTGTGCAACTCTCAACAACTTTTGTTAATAATTACCGACACATAGTTTTACATAACAGAGAAATGTTCTCGTAATTAATATGTTTCTATGTATACAACTTCAAAATTAGTACAGTAGTATATATAGAATAAATTCAACATGAGAAATCAACATGGCCAAAACATGCTGGCAAATTGTGTCGAACCGGGTGCCTGATTGCAGTAGAGATCTGCTCTCAGCGAATATGGCAAGACTAGGTGTTTAATTTCCGAGACTTTAAGCACCAGTCGTTTCATGTACATTATGTATCAACGACAGTGACTCTAGAATCGGTTTAAATTCATATAACAACCAACGATGATTTTACAGATTCGCATCAAAAATAAAATAAAACTAAAAAACACACTGATTACCTAATGTACTTAGCAGAGCACAAAGAATTAGATACCAATTGTGCAAGAGAAACACTATTGAATTAAGTTTTAGGCATCCCACAATTTATTTTTTTCTTACCTACAACTGATCCCTGAACAGCCACAAGACCTTCTTTTGTCCTTTGAAAAAGAAGTTAAAAATTGTTAAATATCTGACTATGTTAGCTATTGTAAGGCTTTTGGGGTGCAGAATTCAGGTGTTGCTTTTCAGATAGGGGCGAAAATTCCTCTGGTTTGTTCATCAGAGTTTCAGATGAACTATGCAGTCATCATTACAACATTTTAACCATTTTCAACAAAATCCAACCCTTGCTTAGGACAGTTATATTTAGTTTCTTACCTACTAACTTGTCAGGAACATGCCATATTCTGGGATTCTATTGAGAAAAACAAAATGCAATTATTAAATTCTGAATTTTATGCAATTCAAGACAAATAAAGAATTGTCAGATATTTTAATGGTAGTTTAATATCATTCAATGTATGGACATTTCTTGACAAATCCATTTATATTTATAATTTTAACATGTATCAGTGATAGTGCAAATGAAATTCTATTACATATCTTTGTAAGTACAGTTCAGAATAGTATTCAAAGCCAGCTTATGTTGAATTTGGTAACTCATACAGCTAAGAAACAAATTATACAGGATTATTTATGAATATAATTATTTCAATTAAGGAGAATATGTTTTCTAAAGCAACAATCTTTGCATCAGATCGCCCTAGTTGAAGTCGTTGGTCAGTCACTGCCCATCAGACCATTTAGTCTTCAATCATTACCTGCAAAGCCTCATGGGATAGATGAATGAACATATTTGGCTTACCAGTTTCTTTTACACTTGACACTGCTGCATTGTCTGGAAAACAAGACGAAAAAATTAACAATAAATTATGCTTTGTAGTGCACACAAGAAACAGACGTTCAGTTGTTGCATCAGTCCTATCGATCCAGATGGTGTATAATCATTATAGTCATTGTCCCTATCTGGTGTCATCCTTTACAACATTTTAAACTCCCTTTTTAAGAAGAATAAAGGAACAAAGGTAAATAGCAAGAGTAATGAAATGTATTACATACCACCTACAATAAGTGTATCTTAACTTCTTGCAAAATTGATTAATTTATGGACATTTAAAATTCAATATTTTGTTTTCCAAATACTACCATGTCCACTTACCTTTCTGAAGAATAATCAGGACAGAGTCTTATTTTCTGACTTGCCTTTGGGAAAGAAGGAAAAACCATGTCAGATTTATATACAATTCAAATGTTATATAACTTAATGTGTTGCTCAGCTAGGGGCGAAATCCTATGGCTTATTCTTCATGTCCAATCTGTTGAACTATGCAAACATCATTGCAACACATGATAGTGTGTAACACGAACACATTAATGAGACATCCAACATTTGTACTTGTGTATGATATAATAAATTAGCTTTAAATGGTCGCAGTATTTGGAAACATCACACATATACTTTAATTAGACTATATTGTATTCCTGTTAGCCATGTGAAAATACAATTTGACAGAAGAAAAACATATAAAACTATAAAAAAAAATAAATAAATAAAATCAGAATTTTATTTAAACAAGTACAAATTTGAGAATGGTTAATGGGAGGATAGATTTTCAATATTTAAAAAACTGAAGGAAAAGGGGTGTAACCACATCTTCCTCCACCATTTTTAAGTAGTATTAAAAATCTGTATGTCATTACTCTTGTCAAACACAATTTTGTATCTTTGAAATCAGATGTAAAAAAAAACAACAATTTGTTCCCCTTCGGACCCTGGCTTTAACAGGCTATATTTTACAAAAATTATATACCAAACAACCAAATTCCAAGTTACTGTACCATTTTCTCTCTTCACTTCATGCTTTGTAAACTTCATAATTATTCCTAAAAATAAAAGTATTTTATTAGTAATTACAATAATATTAATAGAAAGAGCACATGAGCATTTGCAAATCAGGGATGTATTTATGGGAGGTCACCCAGCCTTAAGTTTTCCACCTAGTCTAAAGCTAATTTCCTGGCCCTTCGCCCACCCTTATTAACCCATTTTTCTATTCTTAAAATCCATTATTATTTGGAGTTTACTAATGTTATCACCCACCCATCTTTAAAATGTCTATCACCAACCCTTAGTTTTCTACAGCTACAACCCTGAAAATGTAAAATGGTTTTCAGATAGAGCTAATAAAAATATTCATTCATGCAAGTCAGATGTCTATGTATCATCATAAAACCATAATTTGTTAAAAGCACCCATTTCAATTTCACACATAGGCTTTCAGAGCAAAAGATATTTGCATTGTGCACTACAATATCTGTCAGACAAAAAGTGGTGCAAATATGCACTTTGATTTATTTATTACGGTATAAAACAAAACAATATCATAGGGATTACTTAACGAGTGCTCTTTTCTTAAACCTAAAAATCAGATTACATAGTAATACCATTAACATATCCACTATGAAATAGCATACATATAATCTACAAAATGTTCATATCTTATTAAACTACTCTTTTCTGCTTGTGTGCCCTGCTACAACTAACCCCCGCCCATCCCAAAACTGAAGTATAGTACTAAATAGTATTAAACCATTCTAAAGCATAGCATTACAGTTACCAAGTATTGACAGCATATTAAATGATGATTTTAAATGATAATTGACGATCAAATGTAATTTTAATATACAGTATCAGTCCCATGTGTATTTGCTTAACAATGACAGATCTCTCTCCACCTAAAGACCACTTTTGGGACCTGGGTTTACCATGGTCTTTAGCAGATTTGGTCTCTAATTATAATAATAAAGACAAGACATCTGCTAATTTGGGACCACAGAAAAGTTGTCATTAATTGGAGAGGTCTTTAATTCGTGACTTGTTTAATCCCTATGGGTATTATACTTCAAAATGAACTATAATAGATAGCACCTACAGTTAAACTTGCCTAAAGCCTTGTTCGCACTGGATTTTAAAAATGGTAAATTTAACCAGGGTAACTTTAACCAGTCATGTGTACATTTCACCATTGTTCGCATTTGGATTATTCACATGGTTAGTTTTACCATAGTTTTACCAAGATTTAACCTTGTGTATAAAAAATATTATTGAGAGCGCTAGTTTGTGACTTCTACTTCCGGTTCTGTTCGAGCGGTGTCAACATGGAAGAAGTTTTAACTGTGTTGCACGTTCGGATTGGACTTCTTGACCAGCGTGGTTAGTTTAACCGAGACCGTGGTAAGTTTTACTGGGCAGGCTGAGGTCGGTAAAATTAACCATTCGGCTTGGTTAATTTAGAAAAATGCTCTGGGATTTCTAAAGTCTAAGCATCACCGGCGAGAATGGTCAAAATCTGAATACCGCCAAATCCCCTCCCCATACTGAATTGCCTTTCTCCAGTGAATTTAACAGATTGTAACTGGAGGTAGCAACACATTAAATATTCAAAATCAGTTGGGAATGTGAAGGAATTGAAAGATTCTTATACAAAAACAAAAACAGTTTTTGATATATTTTTTGATATAACTATAATAAATTCATTTTTTAATTTGTTCATCCCTTGCGCTGTATAGGCTTACTTTATATGTATGTAATTCAACAATGTATTGTCCCCTGCTAATGTAAAAAAAATCATAAAAATAATTTTGAAAACTATAAACTTGCTCATATTGCAATAACATACAAATTATTAATTTGTGCATAAAAATTATTGAATTTTAAAAATGTGTACCCTGATTTTTAAACCAAAAAATTATAATACAAATTATAAAACGCTTCCAGTGACTGCTGGAAGTGTTTCTGTCATTTTTCGCTGTAAACTGATGGGTAGACAATTTTTAAAAACACTAATTTCTATGTTCAACTTGATAACTTATGTTACTTCAAAATGGGCAAATTAATTTCAAAAAATATTTTTGATTTTTTTTTTTTGGTATTTAGCATGGGACAATACATCTTAAAACCTTGAAAATAATACAGTAATAGAAACAACCACTAAGTCATTGCTGCACCATTTGTTGGCAATTTGAGGCCCATAGGCCAGCCTTGTCACATTTTATCGCTTACGATATGCCAATTTTGTGCAAGTGCATACACATAGGTACATTTAAATAAGTAACATTTCCACAAAAAAAAAAAAAAAAAAATGCATTGTATTGCTGCAATTTCTTAAATTCATCTTGTTACTGTACTTGCATTACAAGAAGATTAAAATTGATGATGATTCTTGTGGTGAACTTGTGGATATCAATTTTCTACTTGCGTTTAGGAATTGAGAATTGAAATGATTTTTTTTTTTTTTTTTTTTAGATGAAGAAAACGCTGTTTTATTTTTGCCTGTTGGCATTCATTCTAAACTGCACGTGGGTACGAGCAGATGATGAGGATGAAGACGATAAAGATGATAAAGAGAAACTGGGAACTGTTATTGGAATAGATTTGGGAACAACATATTCTGTGTAAGTATACTTAATAACATGATACCATTCCCCCACCCCAGGGGTGGCATCAGCTTGGGGGCTGGAGATACGGCCCCTGTCAGGGTGGCCGGAAGACAAACCGCAATTCGTCGGGGTGAAAAAAAATGTATTTTCTACATATTCTCTAAAATCGATCAAAAAAGCCTTTGAAACCCTTAAATTGTCATTTATATTCACTACAGAGAGATTTTGGGCGACTCCCGTCCATGCCTACTTTTTTTCGTTGGGTACATCGGCTCCCTGTTGGGCAAATCTTGGTGCCACCCCTGCCCCGCCCCCAATTCCATTAGAATGTTTATGACATAGCAACATGCATAGGATAGGGTTTTATCCTATTTTTGCGAGTCCTACCAGATAAATTATATAGGATTGCCAATCTGTGTATATTGCGATTCAATATTGAAACACTGTACCATATCACTTTTATCTCAAACCTGTGATTTCTCCCATCTTTCCAATCACATTTGCATACCTTTGAAATTCAATGATTATCAATTTTTATTTACAGAGTTGGTGTATTCAAGAATGGACGTGTTGAGATAATTGCCAATGACCAAGGAAACCGAATCACTCCGTCATATGTAGCTTTCACTTCTGAAGGAGAGCGATTGATCGGGGATGCTGCCAAGAACCAGTTGACGACTAACCCAGAGAACACAGTCTTTGATGTGAAGCGACTGATTGGACGCGCGTGGAGTGACCGATCTGTTCAGAAGGATTTGGAATACTTTCCCTTCAAAGTAAAAGAGAAGAATTCCAAGCCGCACATTGAAGTAGATGTTGGTAACAATGTCAGGAAGACCTTTGCTGCTGAAGAGATTAGTGCCATGGTGTTGGGCAAGATGAAGGAGACTGCTGAAGCATATCTTGGAAAGACCGTGACCAATGCTGTGGTGACTGTTCCTGCTTACTTCAATGATGCCCAAAGACAAGCCACCAAAGATGCAGGAGTCATCGCAGGCCTGAACGTGATGAGGATCATCAATGAACCGTAAGTGTTTACACTTTATTCCTGCTATACCCAATCACAGAGTACTGGGACTAATAAGCTTGGAAGCAATGTTAGTAGATCTGTAAAGTTCAACAAGCTGATTATAATTACAGGTTATGCATAGAACATTACTACCAAAGATCATTTAATTCATTTTTTTTTTTAGAGTGGAATATGCCCTTTCATGCACCTGTTTACTGAGCCAAATTGCCGACATATGCTCCATATTGCTTGGTAAACATTATTATTATTATTTTTCAGAACTGCTGCTGCCATTGCATATGGTCTTGACAAAAAGGAAGGTGAAAAGAACATTTTGGTATTTGATCTTGGCGGTGGTACGTTTGATGTCTCCATCCTAACAATCGATAATGGTGTCTTCGAGGTAATTTCCACAAATGGCGACACTCATCTTGGTGGTGAAGATTTTGATCAGCGTGTCATGGATCATTTCATCAAATTGTACAAGAAAAAGAAGGGCAAGGATATTCGCAAGGACAATCGTGCTGTGCAGAAACTTCGACGTGAAGTAGAGAAGGCAAAGAGAGCTCTTAGTTCCCAACATCAGGCTAGAGTTGAGATTGAATCCTTCTATGATGGAGAAGATTTCTCAGAAGTTCTTACTCGTGCCAGATTTGAAGAATTGAACATGGTAATTTGATTTAAACATTACAGTAATAGTTTTTGTAGCAATTCTACTTACATTATTTTACACTAGACGCAGAATCTGGTATAATTACTTATTTAACAGATTCCAAAAAAAAATAGAAGTAAAACTGAATATTGTTTCAAAATGTACATCAAGAAATTACAAAACATTTAAGACATTGCAATTAAATCTTCACATAAAAAATTATGGGTATACCAACATAAATTATACAAATTTATATTAAACTTTACTTAGTATAAATTAAGAATTGGACTGTAATATATGCTATAAACTAAACTTTGAAAACTAAACAACTACTGCTTACCATTAAGCTGTGTTTGCATTGGATTAATTTTCACTGTCAAATTGTAACACTGTTTGCACTTTGATTTGCATATGTAGTAGGTGACAAGGTACTTGGTTAGTTTAGTCCAATGTGAACACACCTTAAGATCCACATACTGTACTTTGAGCATCTCCCATATATTACAAATAATAGATGTACATTTATTGAATTTCATGTTATTTCCCTCAGGATCTTTTTAAATCAACCATGAAGCCAGTTAATCAAGTTCTTGAAGATTCTGGTTTGAAAAAGAAAGAAATCCATGAAATTGTCTTGGTTGGAGGATCTACTCGTATTCCGAAGGTGCAACAGCTGGTTAAAGAATACTTCGACGGCAAGGAACCCTCAAGAGGAATCAACCCAGATGAGGCTGTAGCTTACGGTGCTGCTGTGCAGGCTGGAGTATTGAGTGGTGAAGATGAGACCGGTAAGAATGCAATTTATTCATAGTGTTTACACAAAAGTGGACACAATATTTATTATTAGTTGTCCACTTATATTGTTGTTATTTATCAAGAATCAAAGACTTGTGAACAACTTTAAGAGCTTGTAATGAGGCGAAATTGTGTTTTTCAGTGCAGCATAATGTCTTTTCTGCTTTAAAAAAAATCTATGAATTTGAAACTGTGATAAACAGGCAAAAGAAAAATGCTCCATCTACCGCCACTGTCATTTTGCAGTACCTAGATTTGCTGTGTCATAGAAATATTCAGAAATGGCAATTAAAAAGTTCCCCTAGAGGTAATTCAGAGTGTTAATACTTTGAATATATCTTGTTTGAATACATTCAAGCAACAGCACCAGCTACTTTAAAGTCCATGGTTATTAAACTACAAATAAAAATAAAACAATTCCATTAACATAAATTTAGTGTGCCCTCAAATGACATATTTTCATTTTTATTTAAAGCTGACCTTGTGCTACTGGATGTTAACCCACTGACTATGGGTATTGAAACTGTTGGTGGTGTCATGACCAAACTTATTGGAAGAAACACAGTCATCCCAACCAAGAAATCACAAATCTTCTCCACTGCAGCAGATAATCAGCCCACTGTCACAATCCAGGTTTTTGAAGGTACGTTTTCAGCTATTTACTTTAAGAATGTTGACACATGGTGGGCTTTGGGCTTTGTAATTTTGAAAAAAATCTGGGGTTTGAATCTGTAGCTGGCTCCTGAATAGGATACAGTATCCAGGTCTCCACCCAGGAGCAGATTATGTATTCAATTATGAGGCTGTGCATAGGGTTGTAACACAGGACAACACAAGTAGCACATGAATTTTGATTAACACCATCCATATTATAAACATCATACAGTAATGAAGCATATTCAATACTAGAAATTTCTGTGCCAGAGTGGCAAGCTACCATGTCCCCATAATAGCAAAATCTAACCATTTATAGTTAAGTGTTGTCAGTTAGCTTACTTTTTAAATATTTTTTTCCTTCAGGTGAAAGACCAATGACAAAAGACAACCATCTATTGGGTAAATTTGATTTAAATGGAATCCCACCAGCTCCACGTGGTGTACCACAGGTTGAGGTTACATTCGAAATTGATGTCAATGGTATTTTGAAGGTATCTGCCGAAGACAAAGGAACAGGAAGCAAGGAACAAATCACAATCAACAACGACCAAAATAGATTATCACCAGAAGATATTGAAAGGATGATAAATGATGCAGAAAAATATGCAGATGAAGATAAATTATTGAAAGAAAAAGTAGATGCAAGAAATGAATTAGAAAGTTATACATATTCTCTAAAAAATCAAATTAATGATGAGGAAAAATTAGGAGGAAAATTAACAGAAGAACAGAAAGAAACATTAGAAAAAGCAATTGAAGAGCAAATTGAATGGTTAGATGGTAACCAAGATGCTGAAAAAGAGGACTTTGAAGCTCATAAAAAAGTATTAGAAGATATAGCTACACCTATTATAAGTAAATTGTATGATGGTGCTGGAGGCGAGGCACCAACAGGTGATGGAGACGATGAAGAGCATGATGAACTTTGAACATTTTTATTAATTAGGGAAACTAAATTATTCTGACCGACTATGGCAAAACCAGGCACTTTCATCAAAAAACAAAAACCTTCAAATAAGCTAAAATTCCCATGTATTGACCATCTCAATGCATGTTTGAATGAAAATATTCATGAGGAAACCTCACCATTTACCAAATTTTCAATTTTTGAACCAGGTTTTGCCAATCTCTTATCTCTATTAATTAATGCTTCAGGGAATTTTGTAACAAGATTAACAGTGAAGCTCATTAGTTGTGAATAGTTCATAAGGAGACTAGCACAATTAAATCAAATACCATGTAACTTCTAAAATAAATCATTGATTTTTAAAATTCAAAAGCATATCTATTATAATTTTTATCTGAAACTATAGCTAGGGTAATAAAAATTTCAAAACTTTTTTGAACAGGTTTTTAAAATTTTCCAGCCTGGTTTTTAAATACTATACTGGTATTGAGAAACAGCAATGGCTGCTATGATAATGACTCTTAAGTAGAGGTATTTTTCTTTGATGTTTAATTGGATTATTGAGATAAGTCTGGCAAAACCTGGTTCACCAACCCATCTGAATGCCCTTTTAAAGGGTTTGCTGGTAAATGGGATAGTAAGAGCATGTAATTAATCTTTGCCATTTATTATCAATTTTAAACAATTTTTGCATCGATTAACTTTTGACCTAGATTACAAAGATCTAATAATGTATTTTTTTTTAGACAAGAGCCTGGTTTTGGTAGAGTAGGTCACATATACTTAATGGGGTGTTGCAAATGATGCGTTCTATGCAGTACCTAAATAAATATTGGCATGGTGAATTATTACTAAAAAATGTAAGATTCTCTACCATGAAGCATCCTAACCACGCACACATGCCCTTGTCATGGATTAATTAATTTATCTCCCCCAGAAAAAAAATTTTTATTTGTGTTCTACTTTTTTTTAAAATTCCAGTTTTATGCGTTTGGTATTCCTTTTCTTCAGATTTCTCCATAAATCTCATCTTGATCAATCATAGTTCAGTTTTTGTACAAATTTAAATAAAGAATAAATGATTGTACATTTTACAGAAGATTTTGTAGTGTTGTGCGAGTTGAAGCTTTTGGCGTATCCATTCAGATTAAAAATGTTTGATTTACTACATACAGGTGCAGGCAAAAAGTTCAAGCGCTCCTGACAGAAAATTATTACCCAAAAATAGACATGCATTACTTTCAACATTCAGCACACTTTTGGCATGACTGCAACTGGACAACCTTACTGAAACCCAAGATTATTCATCATTTCACAGCTGTGCTACATAATAAACTGCTAACAGGGGGCAGGAGGGCTCCAAGAGCGTCTTGCCAAAAAACTAAAACAATACAAAATCTACCCATTTTACATTTTGTGTCAAAGGCTGGGGCCGTGTCCCCACCCACCGTACAACACAATATACACCACAGAAGGCCAAATTTGGAAAGACTGGAAACATAATAGATAAATAATTAATTAGTTGATTTTGAAGGTTGGAGTTCAAAAAAGCTATCCTGAATACAAATCCGGATGGATATTTTTGACATTACCAATACCGCTTCTTCATCCGGGGAAAAAAACAAATCTAAAATCAATTGAAACCCCTAAATTGTCATTTTTTGCGGACTTTGTTCCTGGCCCACAAGCGAAAGACTTTGATGCCCACTTTGATCTCACCGGGGACCTCGGACCCCCTGTCGGACAAATCCTGGCAACGTACAAAGCTAATCCTGCAACTGGAGAACCCCCAAAAATGAGTCGATTCTACTTTAAATTTCAGAAATACTGATTCTGGCCTACTTTTTATTGAGTGAAAACTAAAAATCCTGGAAATTAGTCTTGATGCAATTAAACTTGATTTTACTTATAAAAAGTTGGACCCTGTCATGAGCTAACAAGTTGAAAAATTCAATTCCATATTTGAATTCAATATTTAAGAAAGTTATTAACTTGCAGTGAAAAAGAAAATCTCCGTTCGATTAATGTAGAGATGATAGCTTTGGTGCATTGTTTTGCATAAACCTTCAACTTGGCTGGTAATCAATTAAATGATTTGTTTTAAAAAAATAACATCTGCACATCTTTTTTTTTCCAACTGTTTCTGGTTAGAAGTTAATAACCTACTTTATTTGATCCTTATAAATGAGCTCTTTTTAATTTTTTGGGCAGTGCATCTTAAAGAAACAAATTGCGTGTAAACCTACTCTTGAATTGAGTGAAAAATAAACTGCAAAATTTTCATTCCTCTGCAGTACATATTTTATATGACTGCATGTAATTATTTAACATTATTGTACTTTAAATTTAAGAAACATACATTAACCTAATGGGCGGATCCAGAGATGTCCGAAAGGGGAGCCAAAAGTGGGGCAGATTGAGACAACAATACCGTAAGGGGTCTGGGGAATTTTTGTTTTTGGGCTCCCGAAAATAACCTGAGGCGTTTTTGGCGATCAGTTATTTCTTTTTCTACTTTCTTTTTTTTTTAACTTTCCAAAAAGGGGCCCCCTGCAGCTGGCCTGCCTCCCCCTTTAAATCTCCCCCTGCCTAAATTAGTGCAACTAAATTATAATATTCTTGATAAAAAATGTATCCATAACACCAAACAAACTAATATGTTAAAGGGAGCACTGACCACAATTCAGTGTCCCAACCCCTTTCCCTCCACCCCCAATAATTACATATTGGGGTAGATAGGCTAAGAAATGGTTCAGTACTACTTATACTCTGGGAAATGTCTATCACAATGTTGTTTCAGTGTAGCTATGGAGTGATTGAGAAGACGAAAAAGAAGCTTTGTTTGGTGTACATTACGGTACAAATAATAAAAGACAGACCTGGCCCAAAGCAGCTGAATGGCACACAGTACAAAAAGAATTCTTGGCATGTACAGTGCCATTTGACCTCGGTCAAATATGTCAGAGAGCACACAATTAAAACAACGATGTTCATATAAATGAGGATTTATTTTTATCTTATAACCAGCAATCTTTAAACTACTCTGATAAAAAAAAATCACAATAGAGGCACACATTTCTAAATAGGCTTTAATTATCTACCACCCTTTGTTTTCCTGAATTTGAATGACTTTTTGGAAGAGTTGCTTCTCTTAACTTTAAAGCCAGTCCGCTGTGTGTTAGAACTTGGCATACCAATTGAGCGTTTGTCTCGTTTATTTGCAGGAGCTGTTTTCTTTCTCTGGCTTTTAAATCTCTTGATACTGCTCTTCGGTGCACTTTCATCCTGTTTCTTACGCTTTAGCCCCATCTGAGTTCGTTTCTGGAACAACCCTGTGAAAGTTAATAGGAAAGTTCCATTGATTATGATGATGATGCTCAGAAGGAGAAGTATGACAAGGAGAAATTCATAATTCAATACTGTAATCTAATCATAAATCAAACAAAAATAGAAGATAGTAAATACTACAGTGTATCACTATGTAACATTTGAAATTTTAGTTCTGTATTGCACTATCTGGCCAATCATTCTTTAGTTCATTAAATCCTGTAAAAACTCCCCAAGGCAACACTATGCTTACAGCATGTAAATGCCGTTTTGGCAATAGCTCAACAGTTCAATCCTAAAGCCACTCTCAAAGAATAAAAGGCTAAAATGCCTATAGTGTGTAGTACGTAGAGAGCAAAAGCAACAATTCAGTAAGCATCACTAAAGAAAGTTATATGAATTAAAATAGTGACAATAAATGTTTTGTACCCTGCTCGGGTTCTTGTCCGACCTCACGTCTGTAGTACTCGGCATCATCTTCATCATCCTCCTCGTCACCACCTGCGTCATCTACTTTGGTCATAGAGACTGCTTCAACTGTAACGGAAAGACGCCAAAGAAACATTAAAATACCTAAATATGGAAATAATATTGTTTGCCAATTACAAACAATTAATACTTTTAAGACTTGGTATGAGGATTGTACGTTATTATTATTATTATTATTGTTATTGTTATTGTTATTGTTATTGTTATTATTATTATTATTATTATTATTATTATTATTATTATTATTATTATTATTATTAATATTATTATTATTATTATGTTGTAATGATGTTGTTTGTACTGTTTTATAATTATATTAAAGAGGGCCCTGAATATCAGTTAACCTACTGGGCTAAACTGGAAGGGTTACCCTCTTTAAAGATGGTTGAAATAAAAACAAAAACAAAAACAAAAAACAAAACAATTAAGGAAGTTTTTTCACAGTGGTTTCCATTCACATTCTTAAACCACTGGCATAAGAAGGGTATTTAGTGTCCACAGCCTGGGGCACGAACAGAAATAGTGCTCCTTTCCAGCTTGGATGTTTTTTTTCTGAGCTTGTGGACACTTAGCATATAAATTTTATGCTAAAATTTATACTTAATGACTTGAGTACAGCTCCGCCATTAAACTTTTACCTGAAAGACCTATTTAATTATTGTCCAGGCCCATTTTGGTGTCCCCCTCAATTCAGCACCATGGGTACATGCCCTGTCTGCACCCCTGTAGTTCAAATCATACAATGACCATTCTCAGCCAGTCATGCCTAGAAAGCCTGAATTGCACCATTGATGGCTTGTGCAGCATGGTTTACTTCTGTAATAATAGTTTATTAATGAATATACTCTACTTACTACTGTCAGCATCTGAATCCTGTTTCTCTTCTTGCTCCTTTTTCTTCTGCATTCCTAGAATTGATTTCTCCTTGTGTTTTTCTCTCAATTCCTTCTTTTGTAATACATTCATCTTTTGTTTGTTCTTCCTTTTATCCTTCAATAACCTTGAAGTAAAGCAAGTATTTGGGGCATTACCAATGTACATGGTCTTATCGTTAAAGTATCCTCACAATAGAGTGGCAATTGTATTTTGTGTAGCCATTGCCATCATAATTCCAGGCTTTCTTACAATTTTTACTCACAAAAAAAATCATTTTAACGTGCTAGACAACTTACTTTTTCTTTTCTCTTGCCGTTTTTGCAGCAGCAATTTCCTCCTCCGTTTTCTTTACTGAAAATCAAATTAAAAAAAAGATAAAATAACTGCAGTTTCTACAGTGTGAACATTTCTTTTGCATTTGTTTTTATTACAAATTCTCCCTTGAAAGATCTAACTATGTTCAATGCATTAATCAATATCTTGTTTTCATTGTTTAGGTTTTCCAACTGTTAACATATTTCAGTATATGAAAATGTTTGTATTGTAGTGAAAATAATGTATTCACGGAGAAAAAATTCCACATTATTATATTTAAGATTAAGTCACAAGATTGGATTTATTTGGTGCGAAAATTTACCAAGGATAACCCACTAACGCCTAAAGACTGATTTCCATTGGGGTCCTTCTGGTGGTACACAGGGAGACAATCCTCCCTTTTTTGGTAGCTTGGAGAGCCAACAACAATACAGCTGAAGAAGGAATCCTGAAACCAAAGCACTGAATCCACCTGCGCACATCCCAAGAATACTTGAATCTGTGGACACTCAATCAATGTGTAGATCCACACCACGACTGGAAGAAGCTATACATCCTGACACTGGAAACTAAACTTCATAGCCTAACATAGCTCTCCGGTAGTCTGAGATGAAACTTCTGAAAATAACTCACCAAATTGATGGTAGATGATGTCTCCATTGCAAACACCTTCTTCAATCTTAACAAGTTGCAATTGAATACGAGGTCCAATCTGAAAGATTCAATAATTTATATATAATTTGTTTCTATTTAATTCTCATTCAACCATGACTTGTATTTGATAAGGTTTATAAATATAATTAATTGTAATAAAGTTTTCATTGTTTTCATTTATTAAGAAAATATTGCTATTTTTAGGAATAGAAATGGCACGGGAATTGACTTTAAACTATATATTTCTGCAGTTACAAAATCTATAAACCTATTTTGAAAAAAGAATATTATAATAGTGTGTAACGTTAGAATAATTGCTTAGCTAAATTACACAAAATTCAGATCATTATTGCTAAAATTCACATTCCACTTCTAAACATTTGAGCATAATTCTGCTGTCAGTGTGCTAAAAACTTGAAAAACATAATAATTCAATATTATAATTGACAATCTGTGAGTTAACGAGTACCGCAGGAGCACAAATCAGCATACGCACAGCTAAGTGTAAATCCGCACACAGAATACTGATCATATTACTGGAAATCAGTAAAATTGAATTGATTTAATTTGTTGTCTCATTGGGAGTTTCATATAAATAATTGATCACACTCTAAAAGCTCATCCAGAATATCAAATCTTATGTGACAAATCTGTGTGATGTGGCCATATCGAGGCATGATGATGTCATAGTACACCCAAATATGGGCATATCACATTTATTTGTCACATAGAATTAGATGAATAATTCAAATTTTTTATTGATTTTTAAATTAATATATAAATCTCACTACAGAATACTGAAATAGACTTGTAAGTAATAATTTAAAGATCATAATAATATTGAGTATAATGTTAACCGTGATTTGTTTTAAATACAAATGTTTAGGATTTAAAGCCAGGTGCCGATATAACAAATGATAAACACAACAGTTTATGCATACCTCAACCAACCTAATGGCACTCTTCTCGGCTGTCATGTTGCCTCGGCTACCAATTGATTGTGGAAGATTTACTTCGTTGTGGGGGCCATCTTGCTCAGCCTCGCTTTCAGATAAATTACCAGCACTATAATAAAACAAAACATTTATTTTGTGTCATATTGTGTTGAAATGCAGTCTAAACCAATGCATTTTACCTGCTAGACATACTGCAGAGTATGGAATAAAAACTCCAGGCTGCCCAGCATAGCATGCCAAAGTTTATTTTTACTTCAGAAAATAATTATTACTGATTTTCTCAAGATATTAACTTGTGAATTTGTCCAGGTTTTGTGGGAACAGTTAACATATTTTGTTGATATGTGATTCTATATCATACATCTATTTAAATTAATTAGTATTATTAATATGATCTTTGTATTAACATATAATTCAATGAAAAATATGATTTCTTACTTGGTAAAGTACTCACTGACATCAGTATATCTACTTAAGTTTGGTACTTTGGTTTGTAACAGTTTCTTGACACTGCGACTCATACCAGCTGGGACCACTTTAATAGAGCTGTTCATGTGAAAGAAAATTCAATAATTACTATCTAGACGTGCCTATCCACATAAATTTACTGTCTGGACTGTATATAATTTCAATAAATCTTGAGAATTTGGAATAATGTTCAATAATAAAGTTCAAAGGCAAGATGGATTTTTCAAGCTCGTCAATAATCAGGACTAATATAATGGTGGGGTTGCCTGCTCCTGCACTGATTACCAGCAGCAACACTTGGCATGTGGACCCAATAACCAGGGAAAAGAACCACACTTTATAACCGCAAGGAAGAGGAACATTATAAATGCCCCTACCAGTACCTGTACCGGAGACAGAGACATGGCATAATGTGGCAGAAGCTTTTGTTCAGCTGTGCCATGTAACACGCTGCTGCTGATGACCATCGAATAGTCAGGCCATTATACTACTTACTTGATCTCAATATATATCTGACATCACAACAAAAAAGGGGTTTTTTTTAGCTTTATAAATATTGTTATAATATAATAATAGAAAGAAAAATCAAAGAACCACTATAGACATGCAAAACAAGCAACAATATTAATCAGGATTAAGTAGGACATGATCTAAACCACATATATGATGATCTGCAATGAAGATAAAAGGCTGACGCAAGAGCTTACATACAAGATCACCAGAGAATGAACGATGTCACTGTATCAACTGAAACATAGCTGGTAAGTTCCATTTTATAATTGGCTTATCTTTGAAGAACTTTATAATATAATATATGTGACTGACCCAAGCTCACAAACAGGCTGTAAACTCGCACAGCACTGTATTGAGAAACAAGCCTCAATAGCCAGAACATGCCATAAAATATGAATTTCATGTGAATTGGGTTTTTGTGTAATAAATAAAGTATAATTATTAATCTTACTATTCCTAAAGTTTGAGTTTAAAATTCAAACTGTAAAAGGCAAAATTTAGCCATTTTCAAATGGGAAATTGCCAAAAATAAAAGCATTTTTCTCAAAACCTGATTTAAGAAAGTTGAGAAGATGACAATTATTCAAACGGTCATAACTTTGCTTCCCCGATTGAGTTTAACTGTCATTTTAAAGTAAATGATATGTTTTATGCCATTATAACAAAAACTCATTTTGGCTTGAGGACGAGTTTACAGCCTGTTTGTGAGCTTGGGTCACATATAATACCTGCATAACACTGATTAATCATATAGGTACTCACTAGTGCCGCAGCTCAATCAAGTTTGTGTTTGGGTCATAGTTCAGAAGCACGCACCTACGAATTGTGTTCAATTTAACCTGTAATTATTAGAAAAAATCCATTTATATAACATATTAATAATAGAAAAATAAAGAGAGAATTATTATAAACTGAACTACTGCAACACATATTCAAATCAATTTTCCTCCATAATAGGGAAGTTTCACAAGCTTACGAAAACGACAACCAATAAGGCTATGTCATCAAATGTTTAGTCAATCCATCCCGTACAATAGCATATCTGTCACAACGTAGGCTATATCTGTTACATGTATCAACAATCATATTCAGCTCGTATATTTATTTTCAAGAATGTTTTAGGCAGAATAACGATTATGATGACGACGTAATCGTATTCATTATCATTTTCAAAAGTTTGCGAAAACTTGCTAATGCCTTGAAATATGCAACAGCCAGCTTTGAATCATACTTTTTAAAAGTGTGATTATCTATGTATTTGACAACCTCCTGTATGATAACCACTTTCCTATATAAAGGTGCCATTATCAAAATATATTGCAACAGAACACTCTTTTGATATTTGCAGTCCCCTCTATGACACTTACTGTGTGTACGTTGATTGATGGGAACATGTTCTGAAACATAGTTGCCATGAGTTTCATGTGCATTGAATCACTGTTGAAGTTGTTGAGAACCAATAGCGGCGGGTGACGAAACTGGGATGCGTACATGTTGGGGCGTTTTAACTGCGAAACTACATCACGGATAAGACAATACTGAAAGAGAGTAGATCTGATTGGTTAAAAGGTGTTAATGTGGATAAAATGACATATAATGGTGTATGAAGGTGGTATGTTATTGGAACTTAAAAATGCTGCCTCTCTGACATTGTCAGAATAAACACAACTTCGCAACCATTAGGCTCATAATTACAGCTGAAAATGACCATTGCAATGTATAGTTTATATTGACGTACCAGACTAGGTGTAATCTTCAAGCATTCCATTGCAATTTCAAAGATTTAGAGACAAATTTAATGATGAACGTATTCAACAGAGTCAGAACAAGAACAGCAAGAGCTTCCATTAATTTTTGTTTAGTTCTTATGGAAAGTTATAAACATTCAATATGAGGACATGATAAATAAAACCATCATCTAAAGTGGATTTATTCATTCAGTAGATTACGAACAGAGATTATTTTCTACTTCTCATAATCATCTCATAATAGCAAAGCAATCTAGGTTAGCTACTAGTTGTCGACCTCAATGATTCAAAAAGTATTACATCATTGTGATACTAACAAAACAATAAAGCATATTGGTCTCTACTTGATAGAAATAAATTATCTAAATTCTTTATACTAACCTGTTTAACTTTAAATGTTATGGTGGGTCCTTTAGGAAGGCGTATGATTCTCTATAAAAAAAAAATTTAAAAAAAATGAATAAACTTTCTACAGTAGTATACCATTTTTTAACTAAATGTTCCACATTCGTATACAGTATATTAAGGGTATTTTAAATGTATAAAATATATAATACAGTAGGTAAAAAAAGATTTAAGACTGTGAAATTAGCAATGTGGAAAAAAATATATACTTCAAAAATGTTTAAGGGAAAATCTTTTAAGGGAAGATCTTCATTTCCATGCTTCACAAATGAAAACTTTACAAAATTTGTCATATGAACAATCTATGTATGTAAGAGATGTGTTACCAATGACAAAACATTAATTTTGTGCTATTGTCGCTACTAACACAATTTATCCCGTGAATTTTTTTAGACCATTGAAATTTAAAGGCATTATTTAGAGAGATTGTCACTTTCAACTGTTTTCATACATACCATGTTCACAGAGGTTTGCGTTTTTGAGAAAGTGAGCAAGTGAGAGACGCCGAGTGGACCAGCAACACTGATGAAATCCTTCAACACATTTTTCTTCCGTGCCTTTGAAAAATGTAACAACATAAAATTATGTTTATAATTGGTAGATTTTACCGTATGTCCTCATCACTAAGCTATTTTTTTCTGTACTGTATACTACTGTACCAGCTGACAATAAAGTTTTCACCATTAAAAATGGCTGTACTACTGTAAAGCAGGCTGGAAAAAGTGCAGGACCGTGCAACCGCCGGTCAGAGGCAACATTAATGTCTTCGAGTAGAAAAACTGTTAGGCTATTACAGTGTACAGATGACATTTGATGCTGGAGGAATTTTATTGAGACAGCTTTCAAGGTCAGAAGAACAACCATTTTTTTACCCAGGTACTAAGAATGGTTACAGACTGTAGACTATAAATATTTTCCATATGTAGCATGGGCCATTTTGCTTTCTTCTTTCTAAGTGGCATAATTTATTTACCATAACAACATCTTGATAATCCAAATAATTGCAAAAAAAAAAAACAAACAACCAAAAGAATGCAACTTCATTTTTGGCACAAACTAAAGAAATTAATTGAATAGTACATGTAATACTTCACAATGTAAAAAAAGAACATTTAATTACAGATCAACCATTTTATGGGATTCTCTACCTATTAATATGAAAACTGACGTCCAAAATATGACAATTTCAACCTTCAAAAAATAATTTAAACTTTATTCAAATATAAAATTCATAAAATGTATTAATCTTTTTTACCTTAAAATGAATTTTACTACACAGAAATTTTCTTTTACTTTTAATATAAAAGGGTTGTAAAGTATTTTCTTTAATTTCACTCTGAAAATTTAAAGTTTAACTTCTGTTTTTCACATTATATCTCATAATTTTTACTTCAAACTTAACTGTTCATAATTTTACACTGATTTTGTAATTACCTTTGAAATTCTTTAATTGAAAATTGAAAGATAAACTCTTGTTTTACATTTATTAGTGCAAGTTACTTTTAGTGATTGTATGTTCTACTTTACTCTGTTCAATGTATACTTAAATTCCACGATGAGAATTTGTTGTTTTACTTTAGTTAAAGCTGCTTTTATTAATTGTATATTTTGTTACTTTTTTGTATTTAATCTAACTGAACCATTCTGGAAACAAGTATGTTGTATTGAAAGTGTATTTTAGAATAAAGAAAGAAAAAATGAAAAATAAATAAACAAAACTGAATTTCGTTTTGGAAGGATAGTGTGCTAGGCCCCTACTATAGAGACTAATCCTTATCAATGTTAACAACTGCTTAGCCAATACCCCGCCAATGGGTTGCTTTACCAAAACGCCAATGGGTTGCTTTACCAAAACAAAAAAATAGTGACATTACAGTATACTTACTCTCAGTCCAGTAGAAGTAAAAGGCTCCATAATTCGCCGTGTGTCCAACACAAGCTGTTGAACGTTTTTACCAACTGTACCACGTTGGAAGACAAATGTGTGTGGCCCTTTTACAGAGCTCTCTTGATTTGTTACTTTCATTATCTTCGATTTTTTCTTACTCCGTCCCTGAAATATTTCAAAATTACTAACATTATAGGTCTCAAATTAACAAAATAATGAGAGATGAAATACATCCCCTACGACAATTATAGGCCTACCATTAGTAGATCAGGTTTTAGGCTGTGTGTACCTCAAATCCGTCCCTCCAGATATAGAAACTCCTTTGTACCAGATTCAAATTTATACTGTAACAGTCAAGCTGTTCGCAAATAAACTGGAGAACGTTGTCAAGCATTAATAATTCAATATTACTTCCCAGGCCCTTCCTCTATTTTAACTGTCAAATCTCAGTCTTTCTTAAACTTTTATTTTAATTTTATCAATTTTTATCACGTATCCCATAGCTTTAGAGAGTTTATTTTAAGTTGTAGCCATGTTCAGCTGACTTTTTACTAATTTTAAAATATCAATTTCAAAATTGTTGTGAATTTTAAGTGTCTTTTATGCACTTGTCCATTTCAAGTAAGCCTTATCATCTTATCTTTTATTAGGAAAGCATTTACCAGAACTACAAAATATTTCCCAGCGTTAAGTGGCGGGGACTTAGCCAGGGATGTATGTTACAACGATGCCGTGCATTCATTGCCGGGACATTCACATAACCATTTCAGAAATTACATCCCTGGCTAAGTCCTCGCTGGTCCGGGTCCGGGGGGGCCGGGACCGGGACTACAATTGACAAGTGCATTATATTGTACTATGTTTTCAAGTGAATTTAGATGTTTCATAATGTCAAGGAGAAAACAAATTTCCAGTGCAATATTGCACATTAACAATTTCTTATCTTTTAATATAACAGCGATTGAAGAGAAAAATTATAATTAATTAAAAAACCTCCGAGTGATTTGGTGCTTCTATGAAGATTTGATGTGATTTCAAAAAAACCATTCCACATTCAACATGCAACACAGCAACATCATCACTAGGCCTACTTCAATCATACATATAGTGGAATTCAATCTTGTCAATCAATCAGTTACCTTCTAAACCCAACATCCTCATTTTTCCTACCTGTTTTTTTCTCGCCATGGTTGTTTATAATTCTTGCAGGTGTATTATATTACAAAGTTGAGCGAAAATCTAAATATTGAGTCCTGACGTCCCACAGATTACTTAGGCCTAGCCAGGCCAAGCCTATAGCGTCGACCTTTTACTGCCAGAACAGCAGCAGACCACGGCGCCACACGATTGAGCACTCTTCCCTTCCGGCGAGTCTCTCCAACAACCGACGACCTTTTTCCAATCCAAGCCTTCTAGCCTAGGCCTAACTAGGACCCAGACTAGGCCCTAGTAGTAGTAGAAAAAGAGTAAGAAATCTTTGTGAGTTGGTACACTTCCTAATTTTGGTTAGGATTTTTATGGATTGTTATGTTTTGACCTTCGGTCTTAAAGTATAGCCCAACTAGATGTTTCTGATTTGGAGTAAACAGTGCGACACGTGGTTTGCATTTAGGGCAAATGTTAAAATTTTTTATATTTATGGAGCGCCAGTAGCGTCTTGTTTTACATACCGTATATGAGGAGAGCTGAGGGAGATGATCCACATTGATCTCTAACTTAGCTGTTATAGATCAGTGATGTTACACTACCTGCTGTGTAACAATATTACTAATAAAGAGTTAGAGCATACCTCAGGCTTATATTAGAACTAATTACTAATATAAACCTGAGGTATGCGTTAACGCTAATTATAAGTTAATCATGACATAATCACTGTAGTTCCCAATGTTGTTTTCCTACCCCTAACTGTGCACTATTTTTTCATGTGAGCATTAGATGGTTATGCTTGTGTAATATGCGCCTGGGAAGGAGTTTTCAATGAACTTCATAAATCTGATTTGTCAGATGAAACTTCTGAACCAATCAAATTCATGTTTAGATATGATTTAAAAGACAAATAATGCTTTCAAATGGAGTTTCCAGTTGAACAGTTACCAATTTCGTTCGACTGTAGAGGGATTTATATTAAAGCTAACGACAACTAGGCGGTTTCGGCAGATTTTTACTGTTTTTATTGAAAAAAACAAACAAACAAAACACGAGTGTGTCTGAATAAAATCAAAAGTACGATGTGTTATGAATACAAATATATTTTTTAAATCGTTATAAAGATTATTAAATTCCCCCAAAAATCGGTTAAGTATGAGGGAAGTTAATACAAGAAGAAGTTGAAAAATGACCTTATTTAGGAGTTTTTGACGACCTTCACTTCAAATTTTAGCACAAACTGATAATGGCGAGTACTTCAACAGCAATCCGCACGAACCAGTGGCACGAACAGCTGTAGTACGCGCACAGACTACTGATCATATCACAACCGATGGCAACAACAATTTTATTATAAAACAAAAACGGCGATTTACTTACAAAGCAATTAGAATAGTGTATCTATACACCACTAGTGGAAATCATTATATTAATGCATTTAAAAAAACTGTCGGGCCTTGCAAGACCTCAGAACTTTTTCTTGCGTTAATCTAACCTTCGTATAATAAATTCCACATAGTGTATGATACGCAATTCTAACGGCATGCTTCTTAAAGTTATTTCAAACAGTGATAATTAAAGAGAGCAGTAAGCAATAATATTTTATAATACCAGTTAAATCGTTGAATGTTTTTTTAGGTTAGTTTCGTACGTTATCGTCTTGTAACAGGGCGCAAGGCTCATGATCAATAGAGCCAGCGTAAATTTGCTTTAGAGAGAACGTCCATTATTTGATTAAAAAAATGTGTATCACATTATTTGTTTAGAAACTTTGTTTTTACTGGGCCAATTTTCTAACATTTTAATCAACATATCTATCATAACAAATTTATTTGTGAATAATGTAGTTGATAATAAAGATGATAAGAAAACGTTTGCCTATGATTATATATAATTAGGCACAGTCAAGGCATAATCAAAAATAGTAATTACAACACAGATATTACAATACTGTAATCTCGAAAAATAGAGCCATATTTTCACAAGTTTTCATGTGGTCGCAGCGTTCCATAACTAAAACTTTTTCTCGCAACAGTCAACAGTCTAGGGAGGGTACCGTACAAGTGCAGTTTTGAATCGGTGAGGTAAATTATCGTAGTTATGATTTTATTGCATGTTGCTGTGACTAATAGTCATTTACGGTTTAAGTTAATAATTATTAGATTCAAATGCGTAAGTGATTATAGGCCTAAGGTAGCCACATTCAAGTGATAGCAAATATGGGCTAGGCCTGGGCAGAGGGCACCCACTAGGCTCTATACAGATTAGGCTAGCTAAGTGCTGTTTTCAAGGTAGGCCTAGTGGTAGTTGTGTGGGTCTCTGGGCCTAGGAATGAAGTATTGAGTAGGCTTTGAATAATTAACATCAGCATGATTATTATAATTCTGTCATACTGTATTACATTATCGAAATGTGTATTTGTTTGTAATTTTTTATTGTTAATATTATAAATATAAAATGTCTATAAAACTTATATTTTTCAGCCTCAGGTGATGGTGTGTGTGAGGATCTTCTGTACTGTAGTGTCGTAGGCCTATGCCTATTTGTAAGTATCATTTAATTCAATTTATTTGTTATTTGTTATCGATTACCATCCCCTCGCACTACCTTTACCCCTAACTCCACCTCACCCCTAAAACCACCTCACCCCCAACACCACCACCCCTAACTAAGTCAAAACTAAGGCAATAATTGAGAGTCATGGATTTGACTTGTGTAAACTAGTAATTCAGTGTAGAATATTTAGACCTACACGTACAGTACTTAACTATACGACGACAAACAATAAGCACTGACTTACCGTTTCAGTTGTAAATCCTTGCTCAGTAGTGGTATCTCTGAAGTCCTTCCATCAGCTCAATCCTCCCAGGACCTTCATGAGGACGGGTATTGTCATTATTAGTTCACTGAGTCAGTCACGTGATTGTGCAGTCACTTGCCAGCAGCTGGCACTACATACTATTGTGTGATTATCTGTGGTGTATATTACTGTATTTGTTTGCTTGTACAGTAAAGTGTGTAATTTACCTTTCTTCATTTGTTTTCATTATCCCCATTATTTACAGTTACAAATAGATGCTGCTCAGGTTTCTATTCAGCCATGACAACGAATAATTCAACAAAATCTATTTCTTTTTTTTATTCATGTCATTCTGTACTCAGAGTCACATGTTGGATTCTACCATGTTATGACTAGGTGATAATCCTAACACATTAGTCGTCATCCCATCTTCAGTCATGGCATTTGATTTATTGCAGTAGTGGAAAAAAAAAAAACCCCAAACAATGAGATACTTTTTACACATTTGTTTTTAATAAAATAT